TGGGAATGCTTCAGTTGTTAGAGCAGAAAAACTGAAGAAACACTTTGTACTTCCCAGAGCAGTAAGCAGCTTAGCACTTCCATGTGTGAACCTGAACTGTGTAGAACTAGGAAGAAAAACATAATCCCAGAAAACTGTTCAGCAAAGTGTCTCATAGCCTGTCCATGGCAGAGGATTACAGAGCAGAGGAACCAGCCTGGAGTAATTCCTCTTCCAACTGGAGAACAAACAAACAAAAAAAAAAACCACAAACCCCCACAACCTCAAAACCACACAGTTGTTTTCTTGCTACCTATGTAAACTGTTCCCATAAAAAACTGTAAAGGTTTAATTCATGATTGCAAACCAGTAAAAATGAGCAGAAGATCCCATGTGGTGACTGACACAGGTGCAGGTGTCAGGACCTTATCCCAAGTCTTTAATGCCATTCTATGGTACACTGATGAAACTAGTCTCTACCTAGTCTTGGAGAATTAAATGTAGCTCCTGACAGGAGAGTTTTAGGCTACTTATGAAGCTAAGCATGTAGAGTCTACACTGCTGACACTTCAGATGTAGAAACTGGGTGAAGAGAGCCCTCAGAAAACACAGCTACTACATTTTGAAACCAGTTTTCATTCTAGCTTCATAAAAGAGATATTATGATGGTAATACTTGATGTATTGACTTAAGTTTGGGGAGTTAAAGAATAAATCTAATTTTTAGAACACAGAATTGTTTTGTATATTGTTCTCTAATGCCAGGTAATCTTACCTTTCAGAGGCATCCTTCTCCTGGATCAAGTCAACTTTGTACCTGTGACTACCATCAGCCTGCCTTCAGATCTTCCAGACAGGAAAAATACTTTAGATGAGAAAGCATGTACTTAATACTGTATTTACTTTGGAGTTACTGGTTTTTAAAAACACACTTTTAGTTGACCTGAAATTTGGCACTTGATCTTAATACTTCGTTTGTTTCCTACTAAGAAAACTAAGTCAGTTGATTAATTGATAAAGGGCCACTCAGGCCGAGGCCCAAAGCTGACTTCCTTGTGCCTCTTTATAAACAAGCAGCCTTTTCAGAAGCTTCAAAACAGAACAGCTTTCCACCCTGAGGGCTACCCTTGGTTTTAACTTCTGTGAAGTCACTTTTCCACACCTTGGACAGGATGCTGGCTGCCCATAGGTAAACCAGGTCAGTTGTCCTGACTAGCGAGATGATGAAATTCAGGGTGTCCTTAAGTCTGCAGAAAGCATTCTTCAGAAAAGGACTAGGGAGTATTGTGAACATCAGCTGTGCCAAAAGCCTAAGCAACGCTGCCCAGCCTGGCTCAGGTCCCATAGGGTTCAGTGTGCCTTGCAAGGAAGATACCACTACCCAACATTTGTGTTACTCAAGAAATTTGACATTTTATATATGCAAAACAAAAATTAAAAAAAAGCAGATTTATATTTCAAGCACTTTACATTTTTATGATCCCTTCCACTCATAAAAATTGTTAGCAGTTGCAATTATAGTGTGCTTTTCGTATCTGTGACAGCAATACTATGTGAAGTCCCAAAAGAAAAATGAAAATTCTATGGAATTATACAGAAATACTGGCTTACTATTGCTAAGTAGGCCCAGTCTGCCCATGCCAGTTTCTACTGTTAACATTTTTCAAATAAACATTTAAATTGTTTATTAAACTGTGTTCACTTGTGCATCTGTATTTACAAAGAACAGCAGTTTGCCAAACATGTTAGCTACAGGGTACTATTTGTTTTTAAGCTTTTCACTGTTCTTACTTACAAAAATTGTTTGTCAGAAGAACGACTAGGAAAAAAACTTCAGAGCCGTAACTACCGGGCACTAGACTGAGCACAGTTATCATCTGAGTGATCAGAATTACCCATGTGCAGCTGATTTTCCTCCTCCTCCCACCTTGAGGAAACATTATCACAAGTTTAATGAGATCCAGGTTATTGAGATGTTTGTCCGTACAGCTGGTCTGTGACAGGAACAACTCACATTGTCTCGCTCAATTGACAGCACTGCAGTGATAGAGGGAACATTTCTAACACTGACTTGCCTTGCAAAAATCCAAACCAAGACTCACCACCCAGCAGTGCAGTGTGGTACATGTCAGCCCAAGGTAACGGGGACACTGCTCAAACTTCCCCTTGCTTTTTATTTGTTGTTCTAGCACCCTTAGGGTGGCAAAGGGGTTGTCATCCATGGCTGAATAGGAAACTGCTAAAATTAACACAGGAATGGTGCCTGCACAGACAAGAGCAGCTCTTCGAACAGTTGTAGACAGACTTCTCTGCATGTGGAAATTCACGTTCTTTATGAACATAGCTCTGGCTCCTTCATTAGTACGGTTCAAGTAGAAGTGATGTATAAAGGCTGAAGTTAGCTTCTTCAGGGGAAAAAAAAGCAGGATGGAAAGAAACACAATAGTTCTTCCTTAGTGCACAAGCACAGTATTAATTACACTGCAGATGGAAATCTGGCAGATGTTTCCATGTGCTCTTTGCGTCCCTCCGTATGAAACTGTAAACCAAGCACCTGCACAGCAACAAGGAGATTTAGCTCTTCTAAACAGCTGCAACAAATGAGTGGTTAAGCCTGAAAAAGTGCTGGTACTGCTTCATGACTTGGCTGATTTCCATAAGTTCAGTAATCCTCTTCTGTATGGTGTTTACAAAGCATGAGGAAAGAAGTACTACCACCAGGTAATGAAATTCTAAAAATAGTGTAAATCTTGAACACAGTAACTGCCAGATAACGCTGCTTTAAGGAGCTGGAGTTACTGAGTCTATTTAAATAAAGTTAAAGCACTTGTGTTTCTGCTTTAGCATGCAGATGGATTTCCCAAATCACGAGTCTTGCACCTTTCAGAGGATTGCTACTTTGAGCTGGGACTAATCTAAACTATTTTGTAAATTGATTTAAAAACCACCTTCTGCAGCTAATGCAGTTGGGAAACGGCAGCTGTCCTACATGCCAGTGACGGTAGGTCTCATTTTCCCAGGACATGAACTGATAAGGATACATGTGTCCAGGAAGAGAAGGTGGGGGGGCAGAGTACTGAAAAGAAACCCTAAAAATTCCAACTATCCAAAAAAACCCTTGGTAGGATGGCAGTAGGTTTTTAGAACAGCAACATCTCTTACCACCTCACAACCTGTATCTCTCACTGCAGCCATGTATCACCATATTGTGTTCCAAAACAAAATGAACTTCTGAGCTGCAAATTCAGCCTCTACCGCTTTTTTCCCCCTCTACTGCATATTACAGAGATGTTAATTTTGTTCATTCAAAGTGAACTGCGCTGGTTGAGAACTAAACTCTTACTTTTCAAATGAGGTTTACGGGAGGAGTTCTCAAAACTTATCACACTTTCAGTCTAAGCAGCCCCTTACTGGACTGCTTCCAAGGATCAAAGCTTGCCTCCTTTCACTTCTTACCTGAGGGACAGATTGAGTATTTTGGTTTGCTTGCAATGAATTATGGGACGAAATCTCCTCCTGCAACACAGTTGACAGGTCCACTCTCATCCTAATATACAAACACATAAATATTAAGAGAACCCACTTCTTCAAAATACCACAGAATTACACTTTTCTGAACTCTGACACACAGGGCTATCTGTTTGAAATGAAAGTAGATCAGTTTTCCACTTTGGAAATGGAAGTTTAAACGCACACAGTTGTGTACTCACCTGAACTTCTTTCCTTCATTTCTGCCAGGTTCCCTCAGAGATGCAGGAGCTCTCACAAGATCTCAGTGTTTTACTAGAGCATCTCATTGCTGACACTGCTGGAAGTCCCTTTTCAGTGTGTTCAGCTGTCACTCGCAACATAGTGATGAATTTTAAGTACATACAAGATGGTCATGATAATGGCATTTTCACAACTCTATCTTTGAGATGCTCTTGCCTCCTACTCAGACTGCAGCTTTTCATTACCATTCGTCCTTCCTGTCTACCTTGCAGCATCTAAAGAGACACATAATCAGGAACTCCACAGCCAGTTTTGTATAGCATGTATCTACCAGCTGAAACAAGTCTGGACCTATGTGATTCATGAAAAAGCATAAAGTTTATCTGTAAGCAGAACTACAGCTGCCTGCTCTGTGAGGAGCTAGCAGGAAGGAGTGTTTCCAAAATAGTAGCAGATGGATAGAAATTATAGGTGTTTCAGATACAATTAGCACTGTAGAGAAAAATCTAAAATTATTATCTAGATGGTCACTGTAGGACCATTCTCAGAGAACTGCTTCGACTACTTACCAAGTAATGAAAAAAAAGAATTCAGATTTTCTGTCAAGTCAGGGTTACCAATTGAGCCCAAATGTAACACATGCTGCCTTATCAGAACAGCCTTACCAGAGTAAATGTGTAAGCCAGGACTCAACCTACCAGTCCAGAGTTCTGACCCTTATAGCACCATACAGTCAAGGAAGAAAAACATATTTCAGAATAATTGTCAGAAAGATTTTGTTTTCTCTTGGACTTACAAGGAGACTCCACACGTGACTCAGCATCACTACTGGCCACACAGAGTTAGTTTACACTAGCAGAATGTATTTTAATATCATTTAACAGACACCATAAACCCACCATGATCCTACCCCTTACTTAAACTTCAGCTGACTCTATTAACTGATACAGCACGAGGGTTGCTGTTCCACATCTCACCCTTTGCACAGGTTCCTTATTAATACCTTAGAAACAGTTTGAGGGTAGAATTCTCCAAGAATTCCAAGATCAGTTAGGAAAACTGTCTTTGTAACCATCTCGTTCTTCCTGTTTTCCAGTTCTAAGCATCCCTTACTCAGTTAGCGGGGCTAGTTTGGTGGTTTTTGGTGGGGTTTTTTTGTGTTACAACAATTTTTCAAGAGTAAATACTCTGATACGAGAGTTCTAATATTAAATTCAAGTAATTTTAAAATCTTGAAAATCAAAGCAGGTACCATCAGCATTTGAGAAAAATTGGTGACTTCTGAGCTAGTTAAAAGAGAGCTAGACAGAATTTGCATTTTAAAAAAATTTATTGAGACATCTGTTGCTCTTAAATTACAAAAGTTAAAAAGAGCATGCAGTGCACTGAAACACCACTGATTATATCTAAAGCTGCTTTAAGACATAAGGTGGCTTCTTCAAGAGAAGACAACTCAACATGATCCAAATTCAGCTATCCATTTCTCATATTTCTCAATGTCCGCAGCAGATACCGATTTAGAAACTTTCTTCAAAGCTATTTCAAAGTCTTCCATAGTTGTTGGCATGTGCATTTCATCTCGGGGAAGATTTCTTATTTCTTCTGGTGTCAAGCCTTCAATACGCCGCCTCATAGCCATCAGCGATGCATCTCTATTCAGGAGGGCAAGAAATAAAAAGAAATAAATGTTTACTCAAAGCAGGATGGCAAGTTCAGTTGTTTGAAAGGCTCAAAATACCATTCCAGTTAAGCTGTTGCATTCAAAACGATACAGTCAAGAACTGTAAATTTTTATACGAAGATCTCCAAATGCCATCCACATGTTTCAGACATGGATTTATCCTCACTGGATATTTGAATAGCTAGTACTCACTGGCTAGGCAAAACAGGTGAAGATTAACCAGTTTATCTAATGTCACTGCATGCCTATGATGTAGCCGCTGGTTATTGTATTTTTAAACAGGAACAAGGTGAAAGTCTCAATTTCACTCCTCCTAGATATTAGCAGGAGTAGCTGGAGCATTTTGAATGTTTCCTGGTTCGAACAGGAATCCCACTTCAAAGACAGTGGACAGTATCTACCTCCAACCTGTATGCTCACAGCAAACAGTTAGATGACAAAATCTGTTCCACCTGTAGCTCCTCAAACTTCTGGCCTCAGTGAGCATTAAGTGTCTTTACAAGTGTGCAATTTTCTTTCTGCATTAGGTTTGACTGCATTTAGACCTCCAGCAGTAAATCTAGTAGCAGCAGGTGGTGAGCTGGTGAGGTGACAGATAATGCTGGGAGACTAAAGTTCCCGCTAATTCATAATTTACATAGCTTATAAGAAAATGCTGCTTATTTGTCTAGTAGTAAAAAAAAAAGGAAGGGTAATACCACTGATATCACAACAGTGTCTTATCATATTAGTAGGTGAGAATCTAAAGAGAAAAAACTTGCACATTGTGTTCTAGGAGGATTTAGAAAGATGGTTTCAGCATATTCTGTTTCAGTACCAACCCCACTCCCTAAAGGAAATCATAACTGACAGACTTCATGAATATACTAAATAACTGTTAACTAATAAATTAAAATGCACAATACAGGAACTAAAATTTCAGAACAACCCCAAGAAGTTGCCTTGTTGAACTCCATCTTAGCCAAATATCACCATGCTTTGCTGTTACAACAGCATTTGTGAACTAAAAGCCAGTGTTACACAGTGGTGAGGGGGAGCATTCCATGCATCTAATTTGCTCCTATACAGCTGTTAAAAAACCAAAATCCAGCAGAAACAACCCAACCAACCAAACCAACAAGCCCACCACACCTCAACACACCCACACAACTGAAGTGCAGCTGCGACCACTTCCTTTTGTAAAGTCATTTCATCGACAGTCATTCCAACATGAACTCTTGATGCCTTCTCAAATGCACTCTTGGTGCCTGGAGAAGCAGCAAAGCTGTATTCAAAAAAACAAGCAGCCACCCACTGAAAGATGCAGCAGGGGCCAGTTCTATTCAAAAGGCCTTTCAACATTCACAGCCTGCTCAAAACAACGACTCAAAGTCAATTCATACTCAATCTAATATGCAATTTAGATGCATTCTGTATTCCCTGAATGTCATTATTTCAAAATAAAGTTCCTCCTTCATTTCCCATGGTTACATTACTGTACTGTAACCTCTGACTGATTTTCACTCTGGCTCACCAAACTCTGAACTTCACCTCAATTTCTTTAAGATGGGGGAGTAATTTCAGTAAACCTGGTCGCTGGCCCACTTTTCTTTGGTTTTGCTTGTGGCACTAGCAAGGACTAGTCATAGTCTAAAGGTTTGAACTTTACTATGCTTACATATTGTGAGTCTGAACCACACAAAAGCACTTTTTAATCAGACATGTCTTTCTGACTCAGTGTTAATGAAACAAGAGCTATTTCTCCTGACACTATGAAAAAAGTGTAAACACAGAGGTTAATATGAGTACTTCCTAAGTAATTTCAAATCATGTGAATGCAAACCTTAGTTCATCTGGATTTCTGCTTGCTGCCATCTCAGTTATTACTTAGAAGACTGCCACAAATGAAAGACTCAGGTGTTTCTTTTTGGTTTTTTTTTTTTCATCTGTTGGTTTGGTTTTGTTTTGTTTAATAGTATTTGTACAAAGGGACTTTAGGTAAAAAAGCCAGAAGTAACAGTGTGGGCATATACATACACATATGAAATTCACTGAGAAACATGAAAAATATTCTGACTTTTAAACAAGTGTATTGATGTTCAGTCTAAAATTAATCACAACAAACACTAAACAGGCCGGAGGAGACAAAGTACAGCTAAAATGCACAAAGCAGCAGACCAAATAAACTCTTTTATATGACGTGAACCTATTAGCACAAGCTCCTTTCAGAGCACAACCAACACCAAGACCAAGACCGATAGAAAGAACACCACAAATTCATCTCACAAACTTACGAATGAAACAAATCTGCACAACACAGATTCAGAGCAACTAACATACCATTCTTTTCCCAGACACTGTGCAAGGTTTGTTCAGGAAGCCGTACTGAGGCTCCAAATTCTTAGTTCAGCCTTAAGCGAGCCTGCTGAGAGCCTTTGGTGGCAGTTTTGCATACAGGCTACTTGCATTCATCCCTGTGTCACAGCATATTGTCCTCTCAGCTGTGCTGACACATGTTTGCAGAGCTTTATTAGGAATCTAGGCAAGAAACGGATCCGCGTTTGAGGAAGTAATGAGAAGGTGTTTTTAATCCAGAACATCTCTCACCCTGTTCAAAGCACAGCCCCACAAGAGTTGGCTGGCACAACCAGGAGCTCCAGCCTGAAAGCATCATTACATAAGTGCTTATCAGATGACAACAACATCTTTAAAGGCTTCAGTTCCCTGTTCTTTCCTGGCAATTCTGTAATTTGCCACTGCTGCAACTGTGCCAGTGAAATACTTTCAATGTAAACCACATGACTGAAGATCAGTCCTCTCCTTTTCAGTTTTTGAAAGAAATTATAGAGGAAGGGTTAGAAGGTATTTTTAGTCAATTATTTCAGGAATCTAGGTTAGAGAACAAGCTCACAAATGTAGAAGAAAAGTTAAGTCAGCCTCATCACAGTAGCCACTGTGCTGAGTACACAGCTCTTGTACCACCACATGACACCTTTTCTGTGTCATGAAGGAAGAACACTCCGTGTTGTTACGTAGGTACTCTGGCCACTGCCACTATCACCTCTACATAAGGATTTCTGCAGAAGTGTAACCCCAGTGGAATGACTGCAATGCTACAAGTTAAAGTTTACCATCCTGTGGATATTCCTCACGCAAGGAATTTAGTCTACATGAAAGAACGGGGAATTTTACCTAATTCATAGCTTATTTAAATTACTACGTTGCAACTGACTGCTCTTCAAATGAAAACTTAGTTAAATATTAACGCAGTTATTTCACCTTTTAGCCATACGTAAAAGACAAGTTACGGTCCATTTTTATCCAGCAACTTCAATCACGTAACTTGGTGACCTTACAAACAGTTTTCTTGCAGTGTGTAGTGACAGTAACGCAAATGGTGCAATGTTAACTTACCTGCATACGTTGGTGATGTCTGCACCCGAATAACCTTCCATTTTCTCAGCTATGTTTGCAAGGTCAACATCGTCAGCCAGTTCCAGCTCTCGCAGATTTATTTTTAGGAGTTCCTCTCTGCCTTTTGCTAATGAGAGAAAAGAAAACTGAGACTATGCAATTTGCTTTCTGAAGATAAATAATAAATTGAAGAGGGATAAGAGGGAAGAATGAGAAAAAGGATAGTGTATTTGCTATGAAGGTAAATTTCGTGTTTAGATTTCACCTGATCCTGAATCCAGAAGTGAATTTGCTTACATGTATCAATTAGATTTTTAAACCAGGCGATCAAAACTAAAGGAATATTGATAAAGTTTAGATTTTAGTCTTTTTAACCACTCCTCTCCCCAACTCTTTATACCTGATGGTAAAGGAATGTAAATCCTCTTTTCTAGTCTCCGTCTTAGGGCTTCATCAATATCCCAAGGAAAATTAGTAGCAGCAAGTACCATGACCATCTTAGAAGGATCATCATTTTCAGTAGCCCCTCCGACACCTGCAGTGGAGAAAAGAGAAAGTAAAACATACATACGTTTTCTGAAATTTCATGTATAGAGAGAACAGTATTCACAGTTCTATAATATTAAACCAGTTACTTTATTGCACAAGCATAATAGAATCACCAAGTGCAACAGAATTCACTTTTTCATCTCTATGACAGCCTGAAAACATAAATGGAAACTAGGAGCAGTGGAATAGGCCACTGCTGAGATCAGCAAGTTCCTCTCTCTCATAGCTAGAATGGTTTTACAGCAGAGCTGTGTGCATTTCTGCCATTAGAGCACTTCAATTTTCACATCAACATCTTCTAACAGTGTGTGGAGAAAAACAAAACAACTCTCCAAAACCATCACTACACCCCAAAACAGACATTCCCCCACAGTATTCACTAACAGCCACACATGAGCAGCATTACTTCCCTACAAAGTTTCTTCAGTTCTGAATTCAGGCCAAAGGTTTCATATATACAGGTGGATTCTTACAAACTGCTGGAGTTAATGTTTAAATTGGGTGGACTAAATAACAACTTCTCAGAGACAGGGAGAACATCCCACTTTCTAAACACTATGAATCTACTGGAACAGGAAGAAGGTAACTTCATTAAACTTGCTACTCTCTGCATTTACTGTTTTTGTTTATAATTATAGGACTGGGCCATGGAATAGGCATTGTACCTAGTCTGCCAGAGAATCTGCAGATAAAACACCATTTATGATGCTCAAATAAAAGGATTCAAACAGTTGCTACTAATAAATTCAGATTATGTACATACTTGACATGAGAACAGTATTACAGCTCTGCTGCTATTTAAAGTCAAACATAAAAGGGTATCAACATCAGAGACTGAGAAATAAATAAACAGATGTTGTGATTCATGGAACTCTATCACAAAACATCCCACAGAGTAGCACTTTCCAGTTACTCCTTTCCTTCTCTCTGCCAGAGTATAAAAAGGATAGATCTATAGAAACTTTGCACTGTATTAACTACTTTTAAAGTTTGTTGATTTGTGAAATATTAACCAAATAGCTGTAATAAACTTAGTGTTTTAAAATGAAAAGTCTCTCAACCACTTCTACACAAAACGTCTTCATTTTTTAATTATATCTTTAAGAGAAAAAGAGATCCCAAAGAAGCTAAGTGCACTGATTGCCTTTGAAGTTTAAATTGGAACAGGTGACAGTTCTTTTGAAACACTTCTTACTTGATTTTGGAGAAGTGAATGATATGCTAGGTACAGACTGAGAGAAGCAGTTAATACTTTTTTTCTGCTGCTGTTTTGAAATCTTGTGTTTTCCACTGAACCTTCATTATTCTGGGTCACTAATACAAGGTCATAGCTCAGAAGCTAAAAGACTGTGAAATAATGTTTCCTTCCACACCAACAGTTGGAGTAGAGCACTTGTACATCTCTACCCCAATTCTATGTAAGGCTTTGACAAAACTGCTTCTGAAGAATGAAGTTTTGAATGTGGGGTTGTTGTTGTTTTTTTTTTGGGGGGGGAAAGTCCCTCAAGTTTCCTCCAGTGCAGCATCTCCCAGTATTCAGGTTATTTACCATCCATTTGAACCAGCAGCTCTGCCTTCACACGTCTGCTGGCTTCGTGCTCCTCTGAAGTTCCCCTTCGACTACAGATAGAGTCTATCTCATCAATAAATATAGTTGTGGGGGCATAAAATCGAGCCTAAAGAAAGCAAAGACAAAGCAGAAGCTGAAGTAGCAGTCTACTCCCATTTAACAGCAGCATATTCAGAGCTGAGTAAAGTCATATTTACCCCATTCAATGAGTTCATTAGTATCAAACAATTCCTAATTTTCCCCCTCTTGGACCACTGCACACAGGTATAGAGCAGCTGTGCATTTGAGCAGAACAGCTTTTGGCAAAGTCCTGTAATTGTTAGGGCTATAAACAAACACTTAATGAGCTAAACACAGTTTTCCACATTAGGAATAACATTTATAACTGTGAAATTCATCTCAGAACGCTTGAATAAGATTTCAGTTTGAGCAAGAATGAATGTTATGCTGGGACACCATGACATGGAACCTGTCCAAGAACCAGGTCAACTGCAAAGTAACTCTGATCCTTTTGAAAACAAGGGAGGTCAAAGACAAGGATCCACAATAATAAAGGCTATTGCCTCAACAGCAGTTGAGATACTGTTCATTGTGTGTATGCATTTTTGATCAATCATATTAAATGAGTTGATATCATGCCTATCAAACTACTACGTAAAAGATCTTTTATTTCCTGACTTGTCTAACTACTGTAATTGCAACTCTGCCATCCCCCTCAGTAGTAGGCACCCTAGCAAACACTGCATACAAACCTGGTAACACATAACAACAACAACAACAAAATTACTATTTTTGGAGCCAATTTCAAGTCTTATGTGCTCTGAGGCCAACTACAGTTTGGAAGTCCACATATTCTAAGCCCAAAAAAACCCAAGCCCCCACCCATAACAACAACAAAACACACACAGCCTAAATAGGGTTCTGACGCAGAAAGCAATTAATTTCATATTAGTTTTATATTCAAGCACGTTCTGTATCACTCATCAGCTTATAGCGAGCTCCCTCTAATGTAGCAAACTAACCCTGAATCTCAAAGACTAATCTAATTGTTCAGCTTTTATAAAGCAATTCAGGAATAATCTTGAATTGTAAACTGGTAAATCAGAAAGGCCTAAAGCATTTGAAAGCTTGGAGAGTTGTTTGTGCATGCTGTGAGTTTGAAACCTTGGCAAGGTTTCACTATTCTAGAAGACATTCTACTTCATTATCTCACTGTTCATATTCAGAAACTTCAATCACCATTTCAAACAGCAGACGAACAAGTTTTTCAGATTCTCCTCTGTATTTTGAGGTAAGTGTGGAAGAAGAAACATTGAAAAAAGTAGTCTTGCATTCAGTGGCTACAGCTTTTGCTAGAAGGGTCTTTCCAGTACCAGGAGGACCAACCATCAGAACTCCCTATTAAAATAAAAAGAACCACTTTTAACATAAGAATCAAAACACAGAAATTCACAGTTTATTTAGTAGTGCAATAATAAAATAATGGATGTAAACTTTCCCCTGAAAAGTTATTCAAAGGTAAGTATTAATTACTCTTGCTTACCCACAACAATATAGCTGAAGACAGTACATGTATCTGGCTGACATCTTTATTTTGTTGGTACTATTTACTATTAATTTTGTTGCTAAAGAGTGGAACAAATTTATATAAACTGTAAAACACTTGAAATTTCTTGTTCTGCCAAGATCCAATCTCAGAATCCTAATACTGATCACAGAATCAGACTTTTTCATACCTTCCACGGTCTTCTAATTCCCTTAAAAAACTCTGGCATCCACATGGGTAAAACTACAGCTTCCTTAAGCAGCTTTTTGGCTTCTACTAAATCAGCAATGTCATCCCTGACAGGAAAGAGAAAGGTGTTTGACAGATTCAGACAGGACGCAAAGGAATCAGTCCACAGCTCAAAAAATTATGCAACTAAACTTATCGTTACGTGTTGGCTCTCCCATCAATCCAACTAATTTTCCTGAATTATTTACATTCTAATGGCAAAAGTCTACAACAATTACAATAGCATCTGGCTAGTAGGTTCCAGAAAAAAAAAAAAAAAGACATTAACTATTTCACTAGAGCACCACTGCTGGCATTCACAGAATGATAAGATTTGAGCAAGTTGGTTAAACTTATGCTAGCTACAGATTATGTTTTCTTCTTTTGCCAAGAGGTTGGATGTCCCTGAAACTTAAATACCATCTTTCACTGTTACAAGAACTTGATGAAGACCAGTAAATGGAGTAGAACTACACAGAATTTTCGGAATTCTTTTTCAGAGTTACAAATGTACTAATTCCTAGGTACCTTATAGGCTGGTCTTATTTTCTTGAGGGTAACTCTCAGGGCATTCCTCTTATCAGCATGTGCCCAAATAATATTTTGGTTTCAAAGCATATCCATATGGAGAACTAGTTTCAAATCTAAAGTCATAATTTAAGACTCCATATAAAAACTGAAACACGTATTTACGTATTAAACTGAAATACGTGACAGTTGCACGCACACTAATTTTTTGCTGGAGTGCTCAGTTTTTTTAAAGCCTACTTTATTTGACAGAAGATTTTGTTCACTTAATCCTCACAAAACCACCTGAGCTTGAAAACATTTGGAACACAAAACAAGCTTTGTATAAGGTTTAATATTTAACACATTTATGTAAAGGTACTGGCACAGGGTTATATTTTATACTGGCAGCCACATCACATCCAGCAACATTTCAAAGGGTTCCTATATTGACATAACTTCTTTGTTAATCAGTTTTCTGTCTTGATATGCCCCTGGGTAGCAAAACAGTTTTTCAAATGAAGAGACATGGACAGACACTAGAAACTTTTACACTGCAAAAGAGTATCTCAAAAATTGATTTTAAGTCTCCTAGAAAAGTCTGACAAGCTTCATATGGTCAGACTGGACAGGGTTTTACTCAATCTGATCTAGGGAAAGATGTCCCTGCCCATGGCAGGGGATTGGGCTAGCTGATCTTGACAGGTCCTGTCCAACCCAAACTATTCTACAAATTTATGCATGGAAAAAAGATGCTCTAAAATATTCAACTTCTTATGAAGTTTAGATTCCTGTTTAAAGCAGTAAGGAAAACCTGTAGGTACTTTTTATACGTAAGTATATGTTAAAATACTTAATTCTTGTCATACTGTATAAGAGGAAATAGAAACAACAATTCAGAAAGACTAGCAGCAGTACTCACACTTACCATCGGATGTTGGGGTTCTGAGAAATTATATCTCTCTCCAAAGCTTCTACTAAATCTTTGTCATATCCAGTACTATCAAATTTCTTTGGTTCAGACTCTGAAATCTCAGATGTGGATTTGTTCTACGTATAAAGGACACAACAACACAAATAACACAACAACGGTTACACTGCAAGTCCACAATAGCATCATATTTCTAGAAGGTGGCAACATAAACCAGCATGAAAAATTATGAAAGCATTTGTATTACAGCTGCACTGCAAGATCTGTGAGTTTACCCAGATTACTGTACTGCCCCAGTTCCATATCCTTCTCCCCAAAGCCAGCACATTGTACTGCTTTAGCACTAAATAAAAACTGCATACAGCTATCCCACTCAAAAGTTTTTGCCTCTTCTCCCAGAAAAATCAAAAACTATCTGAGACAGTAGCTGGGTAGGGGGAAATTATGTGTAAGACTGGACCATAAAGTTACACTGACCTAGGTATCTCAAACCCTCAAGTGTCATACATGTGCCATATACATGGGACACAAAAAAATTAAGCATGATTTCCATGTAGAATGAGGCAAAGGTGATCTGCAGGAAGATCACAGAAGTAATAAAATAACTAATTAACTGATACAGAAGCATGGACATGAACAGCAGAGAAGCAGCTCTGCAGTAGAGCCGAAGCAAAGAAGCTACACAGTTGAAAGGGCTCAAACAGCAGAGACCATGCAACTGAGAGGAAATAAAATGCACTAGACATACCCCATTTTTATACACTTAACAGCAAGCACTGGTGATGACACAACAACTGTAAAAAAGTGTGCATATCCTGAGTGAGAGAGGGTTACTACTCAAAGACAATCTAATTTAGCTCCTAATAAAAGTAGTAGCTTAAATAGCTAAACAGTTCCACCCTTGTAGATTATACTATCTCCACAGGCCATGACACCTTGCCACAACATAAGGTTGCTGATGCTAACAAACTATTACGTGGAGATTTCATTTCTTTTAATCTTGGAAAACTACAAATATAGTGTCTTCTGTATGATCTCTTACTCTGGTGACCAGTTAAATTTACGAAGACACAAAGCAAAAATTACGGCAGTCTGATTCCAAGGAATAGATCGTATTTTGCTTGTTTTAAATTGAAAAGAGTATGGAACTAACACCAGATCTCAACAACAACAAACAAAAAACCCCCACCAATATAAAAAAAAGTAAAGTTCTCCTTTTAGGATTATATAAATCTTGAAGTGCTTTGGAAGAGGTGAGTAAATCTCAGTCTAAAATATACTAAAGCAATTAACCCCCAAGGACATCCCATTGAAGTGAGCTCCATCAGGCTCAGTTTCAGAAATTCAGCGGTATCAGTTTAAACAACTATCTCCAAGTTGCAGTAAACAAGTCATAGAATGGGTAAGGATGGAAGGGACCACAGTGGGTCATCTGGTCCAACCTCCCTGTTCAAACAGGGTCATCCTAAGAGCACATGGCACAGGACTGCATCCAGGCAGTTCTGGAATATCTCCAGTAAGGGAGACTCCACAACCTCTCTGGGCAACCTGTTCCAGTGCTCAGTCACCTGCACAGCAAAGAATATCTTCCTCATATTCAGGTGGAACTTCCTGTGCATCTGTTTCTGCCCATTGCCTCATGCCTTATCCACTTGGCACCACCAAGAAGAGCCTGGCTCCAGCCTCTTGACACCCTCCCTTCTGACACATTTACCAGATCACTTCTTCCAGAAGAGCATGTTTGTTTCTAATTCATCCATAACCAACACTGTCCACAAAGCAGACACCTTACAAGGTGAGAGATTCAAATCAGCACACTGACTTGAACAAAAGAAATATTTTATAGGCATCTAATTCTATAATATACTCAATACTAAGGAAGAAAGACTTTCTCAACTCTGTGAAGTTATATGCAAGCTTACCTTTTCCTCTTTTCCTTTATTTTGCTGATCCTTTTTTTCCCGGCTGCGGACTGCCTTCCCTTTATCATTGGGATTTCGAGAGGATGGACGGTGAGGGCCTCTGACAGCTGCACTTACACGATTATTGTGACCTCTGCAATCACTGCATGGAACAGACTGACGCTTTCTGGGTCCTGGCGAAGGTCTAATTAGTTGCAACATATGCAAAAAGCCTCAGTGTAAAGTCACTGGTGAGCACTACCATAACCAAATCAAGTAGTTACAAACTTAAAAGGCTTTTGCTCAAGATAATGTCAGAAACAAGACAAACATTTCTAGATAGTCACTAAAAATCCATTTTCCCTTGGTTGCAGACTCAGCAGGGCTCATTTGCTTAAAACAAGCTCCTTACTTTGTATATTCTATTAGTAAAGGTAATTCTAGTATTATGGAGCTTCCTTTGAAAGAAAAAATGTCTGTGTGAGGCCTCCAGTTGTTGGAAACAAAACTAATTTTAGAAGCACATGAACAAACCAGTACTGAGACCGTTATTACCGATTTCTTTTTTACAGTTTCTTTTTTCAGTTTCTTTTCTATACATGTCAGTTACTCTCAGATACACTTTTTCCATGTGCTTTCCTAAAATTCCAGCATTAATGAGCCATGAGGCAAGGTAAAAGATCAGAGCTATTTCCAGAGAACAGTAAATGTAAGACTCTGTATTTGGAAAGCATTAACTGAAAGTAGATGATGTGATTTGAACATCATTTAAGACGCATCAAGGATCCAGCACCTTCACAGAACTTGTCTTTAACTGTTTCACAGCAGTGAGTTTGTCAGAACAGTACATCTCTCTTCAGGATAAAATGCATATTGGACTACACAAATATGTTGATGCCATATTAGAGTATTTTCATTCTCCAAATGGAGTATCCACCAACTACAGTTATATTTATATATGCCTATATATATAAAGGAATAGTGCAATTTCACATCTAATTTCCACCTAAATTTGTGAGTTCTGATATCTCAGTATGGGAATTTACTGCAGTTATTCCAACACAGTATGGCCCAAGTTTTCACTGTGGCTTTTTCATATTGCCACAATTCAGTACTTCAGCAGCTGGCAAGATAAATTGAATAGAAACAGTTCTGTCAAGACTTTCCCATTTTAGTAACATGAGTTTGTATCTTTTCTATAGAAAGCTTCAAAACACTAGCAAAGTTCTGCCTCCTAGACTCTATCCTTCCAGGAGGTTTGAATGAAATTGGCTAGGAGTATTCCAAAGTTATTAAATGAGATACACAGAAATAGTGCAATCACACAAGACCCATTTCTTTCAGAAGGTGTAAAATAAATTATTAAAAAAATAAATTTTAAAATGTACCCATAAAGACCAAAGCTATCAGTCTGTGCGAATATGCTTTTAAGTCCAAAGCCTCAAAGAACTATTTGACCATACACCTACATTAAACTAATAGTCACTTTCTGTCAAAATGCAAAATCCTGTGTCTGCTTTGTATGTACACCTGGTTCTTTCTTCATGCTACCACTGGCATGTGTTAAAACCTTCAGTTAAACAGTTCAGAAAGCTCATCTCATGGAAAAAGAAAAAGCTAAACAAAAAAAATTAGACACAAAACAATGTCTGTAGCATCCTTAACCAGCTAATCAAAGCCAACAAAGACAACGAAGTGAAAAAAACCTTCAACTCAGGCAACTGTGTATTGGGGTGTGAGGGAAGAAGCTTGACATCAGTCATGATGGAAAATAAAACCCTCAGACCATTCTGGATTAGGCTGCCTCAAAACGGCATCTCCTTCACTACAAACAGTGACAAGCTGCAAGCGCCACACATCTAAGTTCTAGAACAAAAATTACACCGCAACAAGCTGAAGTCAAAGCACACTTTGTCCTGAAAAATATTAATTTAGGCCTTCAGGTTTCCTCTTACCTACGTTCAGCAGGTACTGGCAAAGACCAGACTTCTGCATCATGAGCTGGTAATTCTTGTTGTGAGGCTTTCAATGGAGTATTGTCTAGTTTAAAGCTCTCTAGTGTTTTCATTATATCTTTCACATGCTTAGCTTCCACACTTATTTCCTGCCAAACCTGATTAAGGGGAAAAAAAAAAAAAAAAAAAAAAGAAGTAGATTAGGCACATTGGAAATAAGTTTGTAACTGTTCTCTTTTCAAGCTCATGTAACGCCTGGATAGATTCTTCAGGGTTTAATGAGCTACCTAATTCTACTTCAATAAACAAGAATTATGCACATTACATATTGAGGAGGTTTTTCTGCCTTCTTCAGCACATTTAAAGAATAAACAAATAGATCTTGGATTTAACATCAAAAGAGACTTTTTACAAATCTTGAGTATTAAACAAGTATGACAGAAACTAATAGATTAAATAGCAATCGAAAGTATCAACTCATTAGACTGAATATCAATGAAAAAAAATGACCGTTTGTGTTAAGGACAAATTACCATGGCAGCCTCAACTCACTTTCTATTAAGGACCTTAGTCACACTAAAGCATTGAGGGAAACAAGACCCAAATGATACCAGACTACAAAACTTCAGCATAACAGGGGCACTCATCAGCAAGAAGCTGACAAGTCAGAGTGGACTGGCTCCCCAAGGCTGTGTTCCATTGACTTTTTTGTCACTGACAGAGAAAGAAAGAAGTCATAAATATGACTTAACTAAGTCCATATATTAAGAAAGAAGCCTATATATAACAGCACTAATTTATCAGAGAATGGTTTTAAGTATTTTTATACTTTTCTTTACAATAAGAGTGGCTATTTTTGCTACTTTAATACTTATCCCACAAAATGTCCCAGAAAAGTAATATTTACCTGTTGCCATTTCTGCTGCAGATAGGTGTCTCTCACAGAGTACAGATACTTATTCATTTGGTCAAGAACTCCCTGGTAATAGACCATTGCAGAGTCATAATTTCCCAGTAAGGCATATTCACGGGCCAACTTTACATTCTCAATGATCATAACAAGGCTCATGTTCAACATGAAGCTGAAAAAAATTAGAGGTATTAAGGAAAGAAAAAAATCCCAGTAGCAGAACAATTTTTTGCAACTATTTTCATACGCTCGTTACCTCATTTAGCATATCAAAATATGGAAGCTGGAAAAGTATCAGTTAGGGAAAAAAAAAACCCTAAAATTAATGTCATCCATATAAAACAGTAATTGTTGCTCTGTTACTAGAAATGAAACTCTTCACATCACAGCATTGTTTCTTGCCATGGAGATTCTGTTGAAAGCCCATACAAGACATGCAGATTGACATGCAGTTGTTGCAAGCCATACTTCCCTTTTCATTCTATTGTAAAACAAACTAGTATTTCACTGTGCTCATCTATGGTTTAAAAAAAACCAAACCAAACAAACAATAAATCAAAGCCCTTTTTCCAGATGCATTAAATTTTGTTACCTTTTTTTGTCTTAACATTCCATGCACTTAAGTTTTAACAGTCTTATCTCGCCTTTTGGAAAACACTATTCTTTCATTAGTTTGATTTTGCAACTCTTGAATTTTATTTAATGTTTGTTTGAAACAAACATACACCTTCTATGCCCAGCCTGCACATTCCTATCACCCACATTTTTACACTTAAAAAGGAACACTTGAAACACATTGAGGCTGCTGAATTAGCACTGAAAGGTAAGGAAATCTATGAATAAATGTGTAATGTGTGACCACCCACTTTATTTAACATATTGTTCAAACCATACCACATTTCCCCACCAGCAGTGGTAGTTTGTGGGCTTTTGGAGCAAACATCGATGATTGCGACCACTTCCACTTTGCAGCACTAGCAGAATCTGTACTTTTTAGATTAGAATAGCACAGAAGTATTATTTATACAAAGACAGTAGTAAGCAGAAGCAGTAGACTTACTCTTTGCAGTTGCCACTGTCCACAGAGCAGTTGTCCCACGTTCCTATCAGTTTCTTATACATCCCATCCCCTTCTTCTCTACGATACCTTCACTGTCTATGTTTTTCTTGTCTCCTGCACACCAAGATTTTCCCCACTCGCCTTCTACTTCCTTATCCAAGCAGAGGAAACATTAAAATAAGCAATTAAAGACGCCTGCAAGAGAGTCGTCTTGCTCTCATTTTGGTACCTGTACCCAGTGCCAGCAAGAAGCAACTGCAGACAAGCAATTACAGCTAAGCTCTGGGATGAAGCATACTTGATACAGATCAACTATTTAAAGAATGTAAGAGGTACTCATGCGCAATAAACAGACTTAAGACTGAACACATTGCAAAGACAAGGTCAGGGTCGAATTTGGCCACATCAGAGGTTTCAGAAGCCACACTTTGCACACACCTGCCAACCTACTGCTAAAATGTTAGCTCTCCGTTGTAAAGAGGGGCTGTGAAGTACAAATCAAACACTTTTAAGATTTGCACTCCTTTTTCTGTCCCCTTCCCAAGTAGCTTCACACACAGACACATAGCTGAGGCATTCCTCAGTCAACATCCTTTTCTTTTTTGCTTCCTTCCTTTTCCTTTCCCACCTTCCCTTGGAGCAGATAGCTGCTATGAACATTTTCAGTCCAAAACAGCAAAACTCTGGCAGCAAGGGAGCTGAAGACAGGCCTCCAACAGCCCACACCCATCCACACAGAAGGGACCCGAGGGGCTGAGCTTGGAAACCTGCTATCATAGAGTCTACACTATGTAATCTCACTCTGGCCAGAGACTTGCTGAGCTGGCCATGTCTACAAGCTGATACAGTTAATGTGACCAGCAACTACAAAGGCTAACATATCCCAGGCTAATTAGGCCTTAGAGACACAGTTTGACTTGAGAGTTTTGTTGGTTTTAACCTTAGGAGAAGGAGCCTGAAGATGTTTGTCAGCTGCTGTATGGATCATCACACACATATTACCACAGTTTTCCCTGCTATATTTAGGAGCAAGCTTTTCCACTCCTGCTCATCCTACCAGATACACCTGTTTGCCTGTCCTAAGAATTCAAACCCATGACTAACACTACTGAAATCACAAGTTGAGCAAGATGCTAATAAACATTTTAAAAATCAAGTAATAGCAAGTTACTATAACCAAACTAGACTTTCAAAAGCCAAGAGAGGTCATAGATAACTTCTTTTCTACACTGAATGCTGTAGAGCAATCCAAGAAGAACAGTAATTCTGTTTATGTATCAAGAAAAAAACCCCACAAACAAAACAGCTTGTAGTATCAGTTTTCATCTGAAAATGTGACTATAGCTAAAAGGAAAAAAAAACAACACCTAAAGAGGCCAAGTCAGAAAGACATGAAAGCTTGGGACCAAAATGATAGCACTACACATAATAGAAGAGTTAATGAGATTTTCAGGTTAGAAAAGGCAGAGAAAGTAAGGCCAGAAAGTAGAAACAAAAGCATAAGCAGAGTGAGTTAGCAACTCACATAGGGGAAAAAAAAGAAGGTGCTCTCTCAAGTTTATAATGCTATTGGATCTGTTTCATCAGTGGTATTAAAAATGCAAAAGAATTTAGCTGAAATTAGAAAATCAATTTAATTTGTTGCTTCATCTTGACTCATAAGAGCAGAAGAGCTTGAAGTGGCTTCCAAATACAAGTCTCTTGTGTACAAGTGAGGCAGAAAAAGCTGCTGGCTCTGCTTATGTCTGGACATGCCACTGATGCTGCCACTTGAACACAGGCAGTGTTAGAGCTGATACACTAATTCATGGGCTTGCTGCACCTGTGACTGAAGATACTGAAGCATTTCTAAGAGGAAAAAAAACCCCACAAATGAGTTAGAGCACTAATCTGAAACTAGGTTAAAGTTTGCAGCAGAAAGTTGTAATATGCTGTGGCAGCTCAGAGTAGGGTACAAGACACATGTGGGAGAGGTGTGAGTACACACAAATCTCAAGTTAAACCAGAACTGAAGGGATTAAAACACCCACGAAACTAATCCTGACAACTTCATAATTTTTAAAGTAATATCACATGTGTCCAATACTTGGTAATACCGCATGTGTTTACAAATATTTGGTGCTATCACGTAACAGGATGTCAAAGCTGCAAGGCTGCACTTATCAGCCACGACCTTTCCGTGAATCATGCCCAGTGAAGTTATCTATGTTCCAACAGCAACTGAAATAGTAAAGAGCTCATAAAGTCTACAGTGAACAGGATATAAGGAAAATAACCTAAGCACTTTGTCTTGCAAGTTTAATTCCACCTTGTGTACAAACACACACACTTCCCAATAATCACTCTTTACACTAGCTATGGCTATATAAGGTTCCCTGAAATTAACCCATCTCTAGTAACAGAGTACATTTTATCATTTGCTCACAGGATCTAAAATACTTCTAAAGTACAGAACAGCCAAGAGCAGAGAGGGTTGAACCTAACCAACGTTTGAGAATGAGGTTTTGGAACTTATTTTTGTATTTCATTTGAAAGGTAACAGATAACCATCGAGGAAACACTAGGGGCACTTCATGTTTTCCACAAGGACTTTAAGAAATCATTATAAGGAATGACTGTAAGTAATTGCTGCTCACATTCATACATTAGAATCTGGGAACTATAACCAAACACTGCATCAATCGTGTTTCACAAAGAAATTCTCCAAACTTTAAAAATCAAGAGATTGATAATGCAGATGTTGGAAGTGAAGATTTAAGTTAGAGTTCATCAGTTACTGCAGCAGACTCGCTGACTCGGCAAACAGCACAAGACATACATGGAAAATATTTCCAAGAGTCTTTCAGTCCAACCTTAATATCTGGACTAAGCCAGAGCCTGAATTTTGGCAGAGCACACATGTTTCCATTATTTCAGCCTGCTGTACAGGCTCTGACATCAAAGCAACCATGTAAAATTTGCAAAGTTCTCTCAGCAAGCCAGATGAGAAAAAAACACCCCAAAGTAACATCTTTCAGGAACCAATTTTTACTGATGACATGATGGCATCACCTTGGAGCTCCCTTCCAGCTTAATACCCATCTTCATAACATCCATAGCTAGCAACATTTGGCATCAAGAAGTGATTGTGTTAGTTACTTCGGAAAGAGAAGAGTTGCCAGACTTATTGGATACTAAAAAAAATGCTTCTCATCCGCTTACTGCATTTAACAATAATGGTAGCAAAAGAAGAACTACCAGCAACCATGAACACGAGCATGCCTAGATGTGTAAAAGAAAGAAACCATAAATCAAACATTAGGCAGAGATACACTTGTGGCGGATGATTTTACGTTTTCCAGGCTAAGCCTTTCAAAAGACTTGATTAAGCACGTTACTTACTCCCCATTTCATGGGGGGCTGGCATTCTTTATGATGATCTACATTAAATCAGCAAATTTCTCAGAAGGTTTTGAGGGGTCTGCAGTTAAATGGATAGGTGAGATTGCTTCTCTCTGTCTGTAGAGAAAACTTACATCACCAAACCATCCAACAACAAAACAGGTGGAGGATGAAGGAAAAAGTGGGAACCAGAGTTCGGTGCCTGAACCGGCGCCCAGCAGCCCACCCAGGAGGATTCCCGGGGCGGGGAGCGCCCCGCCGCACACCTGCGGGGAGCAGCCTTCCCTCCCGACGGCTTCCAGGGAACACCGCGGCGATGCCGCGCCGAGCACGTGCGAGAGACAGCCCCGACACAACAACACCGACCAGCACCGTGTAATGGTGGCGGCTGTCGCGACAGCAGCGGCCGCGGCCGCTCGTTCTCCAGCCGCGGGACGGAGGAGCCGGAGCCTCCCCGGTGCCCGGGGGCCGTCGGGGCGGCCCCCACACCGCGCCGGACCGGGCATCGCCCCCGCCCGAGCCGAGCGGGGGCACGGCCCGGCCGGGGGCGCGGGGCAGGGACCGCGGGGCTCCCTCGCTCACCTACTCCTCTCCGGAGCTCGGACCGGCGGCGACAGCAGCAGCAGCTGCGGCTCCTCCACTTCTTCCGCCCCCTTCCTCCTCCAGCGACGCCCGACCCCACCCCCGACCCTGCCCGCCACCTCCCCCTCCCGCCGCCGGCAATTTTTGAAGGCAAATCCGGCTGCGTCACTTCCAGCACGGCGAGGCCGGGGACGAAGGTCCGCCCGGCCGGGCGGGCAAGAAGTCGGTATCTGTTTGAGCGTTATTGTTGACAGCGACGATCCCGTTTGGTTTTAAATTTTAAGGGAGCGGGGGAAAAGGGGGAGGGGGAAAAAAAAACACACAAACAAGGAGAGAGAAACAAAGCAGGAAGAAAAGAACGACTGCATTGGCCGGGAATCGAACCCGGGCCTCCCGCGTGGCAGGCGAGAATTCTACCACTGAACCACCAATGCTGTGCGTGTCGGGATCTCCCTTCGTCATCCCAAAGTGATCCCATCGGACTTGCCCGCCCCTGCTCACCCACCTCACATCCCGCGGTGGTGTAGGAGAGGTTTCATTCATCTATTCCCTCTCTGTAACTCACAAGTGGGAGTTTTGCCGAGGAATAACACGCACCAACTTCAATTCGCATGTTCCTTGTTTGTGACTCGCCTCCACCTCTTCAAATCTTAGTAGAGGGTGTTGTTTTGGGGAAGAAAACGCATCCGAGGGTGCTGAGGAAAGCCAGCTGCCGAGCTGAGTAAGACCAGGAAACTGCCCTCGAGTGTCCCTGATGGAGCAGTACCTCTTCACCTGTCTAAATAGACTCAGCTGCTTAGCAACAAATCGGATCTAAAGGTTGGGCACAATGCAGCAGGTTTGTGATAGTTCTTCAGGGTGAACTCAAAAGATCCTCAACATTATGTCATTCTTATATCACATCCATTCTTATTCTTCTTGCTTTTGTATTTTTACCCGTTCTTAAACTGGCAGTTTTAGTCTATCCCTTTAATGAACGTCTGAGTTTAAAAAAATCATTTCTGCATTACTTTAGCTATAAAAGCAAAGAAAGATGTTGATGAACTTCTAAAATTCGAAGTGCTACTGTATCACATCAGCTGGTTGACTAGAGCCGGAGGGATTTCCCTCCTCCCCTTCGTATGTGGCTAATAAACAAAAAATGTGCTGTACTGCTACATCCCCCCTCCTCAACACAGAAGAATTACAATATAATGTAGTCTCTGCAATAACACACTGGTTTCTCCATTAGCACTTTGAGATGTGCAGTTAAAGAATGGGATTTTCTCAAAGACAATTTTCCCTCCTAACACAGATGAAAGCTGTGATATGTTGTCGATCTCTCAAGGAATAGCTTTATGATACATATTGTATGCATAATAATAAATAATAATTATTAAAGAATATTAACTTATTTTTATGAAAGAGGCAGCAGAGGAGATGGAAAAAGCATCAATAAATTGAACTCCTGAACATCAAAATGTATACTTTTGAGAAGAGGTTACAAACATGAAGTAGCTGCCAAGTACAAGAGCGTCTCTGCTGTTACACTTGCACCATTTTATTCTTAGACAGTAAGGCCGCTGCAGCGTAAAAGGGACTTGTGGAAGAGGAGTGTGAAGGAGAAAGAAAGAAATGCATTTGGGCAACTAGTGTTTACGTTTCATATTTGCTTAGTTGAAACAAGAACTTGATTTTCATTCCTTATCAAGATTTATTGTGGTTTTTATTACTCCAGCAAGTGTTCCGCTACAGAAACTGATTCTTGAGAAAACAGTTTCTAAAACTCAAGAAAGTCACTGACTACTGGCAGCTGATAATTCAGTTAGGCTTTTCACAAGTGCTGGAATTCTTTCTTGAGTAACTTTTAGGAAGGTGTCAATGCAACCATCAGCTCATGTCCTGTCCCCCAGGTCAAACATGCACGCTGTATGTTTAGGGGCAAGGAAGTCTCAGCTTCTCAACTACCTGGCATAGACTGACCAACTGGAAACCTGTCACTCCTGGACAAAGGGTACAGATGCTCCAGTGTACCTACTTGAAAAGTGAGCAGAAAAGATGCCCATTCTTTCCATATAAACATCAGTGGACTTGGAGATTACGCTCCAAGCCAGCTCCTGTAACCCTCTAAGACCCAAACATCCCAAATACGCATTCAGAGATCACATGTAGCTGGACTACAAGTATGTGGAGACCTGGAAAAAGGGGATGCCCATGTCATGACCAAGATAGGTAAAGAATACTCAAAAGATCACTGAATAACTTACTATGGCCATGAGATAATACAAATTTGTTAAGTTCACTAGCCAGGCACAGAAAAAAAGAACAATTAGCATAAACAGAATTGTGCAGTGGTCTATGTATTTAATTGGAGAATCCAAAAGAACTGACAGTCTTATAATACAAAAAAGACATTATATATATATACATATACACACATGTAATATGTCTATATATATCTATATAGATACATATAAATCAGTAAACTTGAATAGTGCCTTTATCATGAGCATCTTAAGGCATTCAAACATTTTACTATGACATTGACCCAATTTATCTTTTTGCTTTGGTTGAAATAAAGCAAACAGATTAAAGGTCTGATCTGATACACCGATGACATCTGAAACAAAAGCCTAACACTATCTTCAGTGACAGCAGCATCATCTAAGAACGCACCCACTGCACTGCCTATTAGCTGAATAATATTAAAAGGAGTCTAAATAAATCATTCCCACTCACAGCTTTGCAACAGCAGAAGATAAGTCAGTCTCAAAGAGACTTTCTAGCCATATATTCTATAGACTTCTATTACAAATCAAGGATAGAAAAGATACAGCAAGAGGGCCTGCCCGAGGATAGAATGCCACTGAATATCAAACAGTATTTACAGTACAGTTATAGGATTATAGAACATTTTATAAATACAATTAATATGTATACAAGGGCACATAAAAGAGAAACTTGTTTTCATGCTTTACAAAGTGAAAGCAACCTGAACTAAAACTTACTGCAGAATTCCACAGCTGCTGGTTAGGAGCCTCTCTTCTTCACTGCCTGCACAAACCAATCCCCATCGTAGGTCACCAGTGAAACACCCATGTTTTAAGCAGCAGATATGAAGAATCTCTATAACAGACTCTGAATCTAGGTATGAAACGTGAAGTTTCAAAACATGGGTAAGGCAGAGAATGCTAGAGAGTTGTGACAACATTTACGTTTAACTTGGATTGTAACAAATTGTATTTTTTGCAAGGAAATATATAATACTGCAGCATCTAGGTGGCAAAATTCAAACAACGTATATTACAACTTCTAAAACATGATGTTAGGAAATGCCAGAAGCATCTACCAAATTCTAAAGATGTGAGCTTTTCCTGTGTTTGTTTAAAAAGGCAAAATAGTATTTAGTATTTCAGCACTTGCACATGTCCTTGAAAGAATCAATGATGTCCTTTAAAAAAAGCCATTGGGTTTACTTGTACAGAACAATGGTGCCTTTGCAGGACCCTTTTAAATATTTTTTTAGAATTTATTTTTAAATTGGTTAAAAAACAGTAATAGTATTAAACAGGAATATACCACAATACAGTGCAGGCAGAGGAGAAATATACTCACATGAAAAGGCAACTTTAGGAGTCAATTTAATGAAGAACTGACATTATTTTCTCTGCACACTTCAAAAACGGTGAGGCAAGGTTGATTAAATTACCTTTAACCAGTAATATATTATACTTTACTCTAAGACAAGTAGACCAGTTTTACTGGGGTATTTACTATGAAGGAGGATAATCTTTAAAGTTTATTTACACGAAAAGCAATCTTTTTTACATAATATATAAAATGGAGTAGTTATGCACTGCAGCCATTTTATAATATTTAAGCTAAATGAAATGAATCTTAAAAGCTATTCTATTTCAACAGCTGTGGAAAAGGCAGACAGAACAGCAAACTCATTTTCATTATAGAAAGTAACTAACTACTTGTTTGACAAAACACCTTCTCATAACCGTCTTCTAACAGTTATAAGCACTTCACAGTAGAGGAAAACAAACACTTTCTCCTGTGACCAAGCATGTTTAAGAAGTTTCCTCACTGCCAACCACTGCAGTTCAGACCTTCCTCAGTTACGCCAATATGAATCATTTATGGACCACACTAGAAACTGGATGGTTCAAATGAACATGCAAGAAAGGAAACTCCAAATGCTAAACACCAGGCAGTTTTTTCACTGATCCAGTATTTAGGACAATATTACAGACAGTTGCACTGGCACAAAGAGAGACACTGCACTGAAGCACAGAAAGAGAACAAATGGCCAGAAATAAACAAACCAGCTTGGTGAGCAAAGTAAACTAGTAACTGGTGTTTGCTGCAAGAACAGCTGTGAACACCAATTTCATGATGTTTAGACAGTTGCAATGCCAATGCAATGGCACAAGTAATAGTTTAAAAAAGCAGTAATGGTTACAAGCATGTTATTAGATTATCCATTGGAATTCAACTCCAAGGAGGAGGAAATGTTTTAAAAGACATGAAGTTTAGTAAAATAGTGCATTTTCTTTACCGTGTTAACTTCAGGAGAAAGGAGAGAGATAAAAGCATAATTCTTTTTGCCTCTCACCTCCAACTCCTGGTCTAGTCTCAGG